AAAAAATTAACTATGTTTGCATGATGAACATATTTTAAATCTTTGTTTTATCTAACTATAAGTTATGATGAAGTTTTTATTGTTTTAAATATATGATCCATAAAAAGACGATTTACTCATCAATTTCTATGATAAATTTAGAAATAATTTATTACTAACCTGTACAAACCATTTTAAAATGTTGCCTATTTAAAATGTTTGACAATCAATGAATATAAGGCTAAAATAAATTTTTTCATTGCAGTCAAAAATAGATCTTCATTTCAATATCTCTGCTTTTTAAAACAATAATAAAAAATTTAGGAAGCAATGTTAGAGAAACTCATAAAGAAGATTCCTTATTTTCCTCAGGACTTAGTAATAAACAGTCATGGAGATCGAAGCCTGGTTCGTATTCTGATTTTCTAGCATATAAAATAGTAAGGGCTACTACAGAAGTAAGAAACTTATAGCTGTGGTTGTTGTAAAATAAATATTAATTGTATAATGGCGCTGAAAGTCATCAGTGAGATGTGTACTTTGTTTGGCTCGTAGAGTCAGAGTGCATGTAATGTTCTTTGCTGTTAACATGTCTTCTATGTGTGTCGTCTAATAAACAAAAATGCCAAAAAGATGGACTGAATTATTGAAATGTTATAAAAATATAATGGAAATATAATCGTCTTACTGACCAAGAAATTAGGAAGAATGGAATTATAAGAGTGGTGAGCCAAACAAATCTATCAATATGATTCACATTGCCCCCAAATAGAAAATATTTGAGAAAAGTCGATTCCCTCGGCAATGCATGCAAAATTAGGGAACACAGGTTAAGTATACATATTTACTGTTATATTTTATGTTAATTAAGTATCGTTTATAAAAATATTAATTAACATAAAAATAATTAAATATATATATTTAATGGCTGAAAAATAGCACTTTTGCTAAGTGCTATTTTTCAACCATTACTTTGTTTTGAATTTGTATTTGGGTCCAGAATCTGGCAATAACTTGTTTATTGTACTCAGATTTAGCGCGGGCTCTGCATTTCTGTATGCAATTTTTAGGTAAGTACCTTTTTATCATAATGGATTTAGATTTCCTATCCATTATTTCCAATAGGTTTTTGCTCGGTATTATTAACAGAAAGGGGGAAGGTTGGCTGGCCAAAAAACATGTTCAACCCCACTTTTATACAGAGAAATTTTTTAAGAGGAATTTTTTATATACAAGCTGTCCTAAGTCAGCAATGTTGATAATACTGTAGCATCCATTCTTTTATATTTTTATATTTTACTCTGTTATTTCAATTTTTCATATCTCCTTTTAAATTCTGTTGTCTGGTTATCTTGGAATTGCAATTCTTTTAATTATTAATCATGTTAATTCATCTCTCTCTTGTAGAGAAATTTTGATTATATATATATATATATAACTATTCATTCAACGTGCCAAAAAATTAATTAAAATTATGCATGTATTACGTCTTTTTTAAACATATTTATTAAAATATAAACAAAACTAATGTAAAAAAAAAGTATTCCTTTAGCATAATTAAGTAAAAAATACTTTAATGCAAATCTTGTCCTTACACCGCTCTACTTTATATTGCAATATTAAGGCTATAATTTGTGAATTTCACTTTGACACGATTCTGAATGTTTATTGTTGAACAATTTCTCTGTGGACTCGGAAAATTTTTCATATGAGAATAGTTTTATTCTCATAGATACGTAGAAACAAAGCGGAAAGAAGAGAGTATATACAATTTTTTTCAAACTGTTAAATCTCTCTAGCAATGATATTCAAGAATTTATAATAGGTGTCGATTCGTTGTTAGAGTTATCTTCAAGATTTTTTCGTAATTCCATAAGCTTTACTTTTCATATCTCTGAGGATGTTAATTCAATAAGCTCCATTTCAAAATAATTAGCTTCAATCCACTTAAAAACTGACACATTTTTAGAATGCCATTAAGAGAATTGTGCAGCGTGCCAAATCTGAGAAACGTGCTATAGGTTGCCGAGGCCAGGGCTACAATATGTACAATGTAATTGAATCTGAAAGAGTTTTGTACATAGATTACAGTGTTTTATATGATATATATACATATAAGTATAGTGTATTTAAAATAACCGGCTATATCCATAAATGTTTTTGCTGTAATTCCTAAACAAACCGTTGCTACTCCATTAAAGAGCATGTAATAAGATTCTGTAAAAATAAATAGAAACAAGTAACATAAAATTTTTTTAAGTCAATTCCTACTTTGAACGGATGAATAGAAAGTATTTTATTAACGATTGAAAATTTGAACAAGATATATATATATACAGAGAGAGAGAGAGTGAACTAATAGTAGGAATTGAAAAAAGAGCATGATTTGTCTGCACTGTAGTAACAATGCACACTCGGTTTGACTGAAAAACCGGTTTTCGACATCTTTTGTCATTGTTTTAACAGTTACTTGTTACAACAATGGAGACGAATCTAAGTTGGAGTCGAAAACTGGTAATTAATTAAATTAATTAACCGTTAATTACTTTAAAGAAACTGTATTAACATCAAGTGTCATCCACTACTCGTTTAAAAAATTTATCTGAACTTGATTGGCTGAATGGAAAGTATTTTATTAACGATTGAAAATTTGAACAAGATATATAAATATATATATATATATATATATGCAGGGAGAGAGTGAGCTATAATAGTAGGAATTGAAAAATCATCGTTTTTGTGCAAAGTTAAAATTATTTGACCTATATGTATTTATCATTATTATGCTACAGTTCATGTTGCTAAGCAGTGCATGATATTTGAGTTCAATTTCGATTGGAAAGAGTTTAGTGAGAAAGGGTTTTGTTTAAATAAATTGTCTTACTGTATTTATAATTTATTCAATGATTCTACAAAGAAAAACACCGCATTTCTTATTTTTCGTTAAGGAGTGTGATGAAATTATAATGCTAAAAAAATAGATCTTTAATCAGAGCAAAAGTCAAGATTTCCCAAAGGAACATTTTTATTGAAATTGCAGGTACACAACGGGATTTTTTTTTCCAAATCCTACTATTAGTTTTCTCTCCCTATATATATATATATATTGTTAAAATTTTCAATCGTTAATAAAATATTTTCTATTCATCCATTTAAGTCCAACTACATTTTTTAAAACTTGTAGTGGATGACACTTGATGTTACTAAAGTTTTTTCAAATATTACTTCATTAATTAAATTAAAAAATGAATAAATAGTAACAAACACAAAAATAGTGTAGTCCAACAGCATATATAGAAAAGAAAAACTGTCGTTGTGTTCCTGTAGCGCAATGGATAGCGCGTTGGACTTCTAATTGAAAGGCCGTGCTTTCAAATCGCGCCTGGGATGGTTTAGGTCATGAGAATGTGAATTATTTTTTTTTACTACACTATTTTATTAGAATAATTAAACTTAGTTAATGAATAAAAGTAACAAAAACAAAAAAAATAGCCCAACACCATACATAGAAAGGAAAATGGAAAATCACTTTTTATTTTGTCTCTTAATATTGTGATTCCGTCATATGTAGAAACATATTTATATTAATTGTAACTATTTAATAAAAAGTAACTAAAATAAAAATTTTCTTTATTGTACCTAAGTAGAAATTGACTTAAAATTTTCTTTTTATATTGTTTAAATCTTACTACAGCATTACTTTTCAAAAGGAAAAAAACCTTTTTACTGGAATTCTATTTTGAAATAGCAAAATTAATAAATTGTTAAAAAATAAATTTTCATAACATCTAAGCATTTGAATAAAATGCAATGGTAAATAATTTCAAATGAATACATCCGTTCTCGCTTCAAACACAAGCACATATTGGTTTCTTCACAACAAAGGAAAACACGAACGGAATCGAAATATAAGAAAGCAAAAAACAACTTAAGCGGAAGATTAAAAAAAAAAAGAAAAATAAATATAGATAGAAAACACAAAATGTGTTAAAGAAAAACAAATCAGCTTTCCTTCTTTGCTTTAGTTTCAGATGTTGATTTTCACAGTACAATAAAAACCGTCGACAGAAAAATGTCACGGCGAGCTTTTGTCTTCGTTTAAAAAAAATCCCGTTATCTCAGATATGATATTTGATACATGGTAAGTAAAATCTTGTGATACATGAAGGGGAAAAATGAATATATTTTAAATTTCTTTTAGTCAAAGCAATCCTTCAAACAATCTTTACCAACTTTAAACTGTTATACAAAAAAGGATGAAAACTGCGAGGCAGAAAAGAGAAAACACGATTCTTTTCACGAAGTATAACGCGATCTTTTATTGAGAATATACTAAAAAAAATTATACATAGAAAATTTTGCTCAAAAACTAATATTTACATTTCGAGTCTTGTGATTAAAAAACCAGAATACGAGGTCGTTTCAATGAAAAAAAAAATAACTTGAAATATATTTAATGAAGAATTCTTCAAAAATTTTCAAATTTGGAATTAGTTTCATTTTAATATAAATATTCACTATCATGAAATAATCTGTTTCGAAAAATCCTTTTCGATATTTTTTTAATGAAAATTAGTGCTTATTCAACTTTTGTTTCTTTAAAATAAATTTGAGGATGCATCCCTTTCTGAAGTTAGAATGACACCTGAAGTCTTAAAGACCACCTAAGAGGACTTGGCAAGTTGTCCAGAAAAACTATCGTATCGAGTTAGTGGCTGGGTGCTCCATTCCAGTCATAGTGAGTGCAAACTATTTTAATTACGTTGAAGACAATGAGAAAAGAAACAGGACCAAGTTTTCATAACATTGTGTGTAGCGGAAATTTTTCTGATAGTTGAAATAAATCAGATCTCAACACATTTCAATTTTGAACTTTAAAACCATTATTTATACTTAAATTAGAATTTTTCATTCATCATTTTTACTCCTCCAGAAATGTCCGAATTAGTGCCTTAAAATAACAAACGAATTTATTTTAAACTCTTTTTTTTAAACCTTATTTTACTTCTTATGGAAAAATACACTTAATATAAAATAATGATCTTTTAAAGAGATTCTATACAAGTGACTAGTTGTAATATTTGTATTGATTTTATATTATATCTGTGTCAGAACAATATTTGTATTGTTTATGATGTTTTTAAATAATATGAAAGCGTAATTTTTTCATCCATAACACCTTTTTGAATACAAATGTGACTGACTGGCTTGAAATATTTAATGTTACAAATAAATATTTTATTATTTTTAAAGCCCTTATTTGAATTTCAATTCTGTGACAAAATAAATACCAAAATAATATGTGTAACTAAATTCAAGTTAATTAATAAAATTTCACACACACACACATAGCATTTCCCTACAAAAAATAATAAGTTATAAAGACTCAATAAAAATGTTTATAACTTACCTTTGATAGGCAAAGAAGTTATTAGAACGCTCTATTTATTTCTTTTGTCCTAAAATAAAATTCAGAAGAGTTAGTGGTTACATAAAAACAAATGTATGCTACTTTTTTTTGAAAAAAATATTGGATTCAGTATTTTTAAATTGACAAATATTATAAAACACACACACAGCCACACACACACATACATACATAAAGAGAGAGTCTGGATTATTTCCGTTACTTTTGAAATATTGCATAATCAAACTTCGATAAGTTGTAAATGAAAAAGCTCTATTTATAATTTTAAAAAATGCACTTGTATAAAGAATGTGATTTTGAGAAACATTGTTAAGAATTCTGTTGTTTTATTCAATTTAAAGGTACTCAATAAAGGAGCATAAACCATCTTGTGAATAAATGTTTCAGTTCACACTCAAACCTCTGCGACTATCACCGTTTAGAATAATCGTATCATTAATAAACTACTCATTGTCTATTCCGATCATGTTTTCGACATAGCGCACACATGGCAGGATGGGTTCAAATATGGCGGATCTAGTAGTTCTGTACGAAAATTTAGTTTGTAAATCGATAACTCGGCCAGAGATGCTATTTATAGACACGTCCTCGCTTTATCAGCATTCGGCGCGTCCCCCCCACATCAGTATCTTTCATTTATATCATTTACCTCTTCGAATGCAAAAGCGTGAAATATGTCTTTTCGAACGTTTGGGTGTTAGAATGTTTGGCTAAAGAATTGGCGACATGAACTTTCGCCTTTTCACTGTTGTTCCGTTTACAAAAGGAAAGGTTGCACGCATGATTAATGAAGTTGGAGGAGGACTCTGAAATTCGATTCTGCTGGATGGGATGTCTCTATTTTGGAATAAATAAAATTCTTCCAAGTTTAATTAACTGACAGAATGAGTGGGCAATTACTGAAGCAAAGGGCATGTAGGTTGTGCGAAAGTTAATAAGTTTTGTAACTCTAATCAATCATTGATGTAAATCTTTAATTGTTTACTCAAAGTTTTACTAAAGTAATTTAATTATATCTATATTATTTTGCTATAAAATTTTGTTTTTTTTAAAATAATATTTTATTGTTTATTGTTATATATGTATATATATAGAGAGAGAGAGGGAAGATCAATTTTCTTATATATTTCATTCCATATATTATTTTTCCTTTTAAACCGGAATTTTTTTTATTTATGTTTGAAAATCGAGTGACACTGAGGGAGAGTTAAATTAACGTCGCACTGTAAACCTACACGAGGGATATTGGTGACGTACCTCGTAATTTTGAACTTTGGTCAAGTGCCGAGGACGACACCTGAGCCGGCACCTTCATCTTCTAACTTCCACAACACACCAAAGGGAACATCTTTAAGCCTCGACAAATGTAACGTGCATCGGACCCTTCAACATGGCGGGTCTTCAATGACATTAGGCTCAAACTCATGACTCAGTTACAGCTACAGTTATTATTTTTGTGGGATATGGAGCGACAGAGGCTAAACTCATGACTTGCCAACCACGAATCCTTGACCTTGAGCACTAGGCTACCATAGCCACGTATGCAAATCAAAATGCAATATTAATATTTAGCATATTGTTTGTCACATAATACTTATGAAGTTATATTTATAAATATTTTATTAGTAGTTTTACTTTTTCTGCTTTCATTTTTTTTGTGCTTTAGTATTGCAAAGAAAATAAATGGATTATAGCTTTTCTTTAAGTTTTTGAATGTACAACCCCTTTAAGTTACTTTAAACTGTGAAAAGAAGTTATTTGACAATTTTTCCTATCCCTATGTTTTGTTTCATATTAAAAACTAGCAAGTACGGTCGGATATTGTTCGAATTAAGAAGCTAACTCTGAAAAAAGTTACCCCGTTGGTGTGGTATTTAGGAGAGGGGGGTGCCAGCTCAGGTGTCGTCCGCGTCACTTGACCATGGTTCAAAATTACGCGGGCCGTCGCCAAAAGCCCTCGTGTTGCTAATCAGTGCGACGTTAATATTCTCTCACTCTCTCACTGAAAAAAGTTAATAAAATAATCTGAAAGTATTTTTGTATAATCAGATAATTAAAAATAAATAATTATAAAGTTAAGCTAAAGCCATTAAAATAATTACAAATGGATTGTTATGATCTCTCTAGAAATGAATAATTTGAGACAAAATAAATATATATTTTTAAAAATATATTCCAACGATATTTTTTAAAAAAATTACTTTAAATACACTTAGCTTTTATCTTTGCAAATAATTATTAATAGGAGCAAAATATGTAATTTGTGAATCGCATATAAAACTATTCCCGAGTAAAGTTTGGTTGACATCATGATTGTCCATTCCCTTGGCGGAAAAAAAGCAGATCACGCCAAGGTGCGAGATAGAAATGGAAGATTCTTTTTCTTATATCTTATAAAAATTATTATGTGATATTTTTAGTCTTAGTTAAAGTAAAATTTATGATAACGATAAAGTATGATAATGAAGCTGTCTATATTCATCAAACAGAGGGACAGAAAACAACTACACGGTCTTCATAAAACAGAAAGTGGTTACGAAGCTGCGTAATACTGTTTAAATATTAGCATAGTGAAAAAGATCCATGTTTGCTTTCATGTTAGTTTAGCGCTAAATAAATATTTGTACTCTATATTAACAGACAATCTAACCAATGCAGGCATATCAGGGTTAATTGGAGTTTTGAGCGGAAGATGGGGTAAATGATCTTTGTCATCCAATAAAAAAATGTATGTCTTTTAAATATATCTCAATCAAGTTTATAAAATATGATTAGTTTAAAGCATGCGCTTTTTTAATTGACAAATTAGATAAGTGACTTTCCATGTAGATGCATTGGCTAACTTTTAAATTTTCATTTTTATTTATCCTTTATCGAAATGAGCAATGACAAGATAGTTGTTTGTTTGTGTTTCCACTTTATTTCGGTCTAACTCAAACAATTTAGCTAAGCGCAATCAATG